AACAAAATTGTCTAAATCATTTCCTGATCTTAGTCGCACTTTTCTCTCTCCCCCTTTCCTATAAGTCTCCCATCTATTTTGATCTATGTTTTCACTTTATACTTGTATGACTGACTGTTAGCTTTGTATGACTGACTGTTAGGTTTTCAATGCCTTGCAAATAACCTCTATATTACTTTTGCTTTCGTGTTGAAAAAGAGCTCGAAATGAACAATGTTTCCCCTTTCTTCCCCTTTACATAGGCTCAATGCATTGCAATCCAATTCAAGTAGTTTCTAATTTTTATGTGTTGCCGGAAGTATTTCTTCATAATCATTTTCACTACATACTTTCTTTTGATTTATCCAATTCATTTGTACTTTTCAAACTTTTTATGCCAAGTTACTTACAAACAAACCTTCAAGCACATTCAACTATTATGTAGCTATCTTACATTATTCATATCTCTTTCTTTTATTCATAATTTTCCCCCTGAAACTATATTGAGTAACCATATGAGCACTGTAAAAGATACTTTAAAGAACTCCAATGGAAAACACATCCAATTACTTGAGGGACATTAAGGGTACCCTATGGTACTGATCAGAGTAGGATCCTAAAAGAAGAGCCAAATTCCAAGGAGGATATAATTGGGGTAAGATAGAATAAGGCCAGTTATCACAACTTTGACCATTGAAATTGTGTATGACATATGGGAAAAGAAATTGCTGATATTGTATAATTTTATTTTATTAGCTACTGCTTTGCAACAGAGATCACTATTAATAATTATAACTATTATATTATGCAGAAGTCTAACCTTAAACCACCTGACATTCTAAATCTTTCCCAAAGGTAGAGGTTTTTTTAAATCACATTTTTATTCCTTTAAGTAGTTCATTTACATTTAAAAGATATTAAGGGCTTTAGGAAAATGTTTCAAAACACAAATATTGTATACTTGCAAGAGGAAAAATAAGTTAAAGGCTGAGTAGTGATGAGGTAAAGAATTCTACCTCATCTTTATCTTTAACTTAAGTGTAAAGGTTTTTAGAAAAAATTAATATTTGCCTATCTCATGCTACATATTATAAAAGAATTTATAGTTTGATTTGTATTTCAAATAAGCAAACCTAAAGAGAGTTGTCTTTCAGTTTCATGAAGTAATTCTTGAGACTTGTCAGATTTTCAGAGTATATTACTTGCCATTAAAGTAATTAGGAAGTGAGGTCTATTTTATAAGTACATAATTGCACAACAAAAGGCATTAAAAAACAAACAAACACTCAAGGAGTAAGTGCCAGCTCCATTTCCTTTAGGCTTCAGACTCTGGCCACCACAGTTGTAGACTCCTCTTGGTTGAGGAAAGGCTCTATGAGTCATGTGTTTTTGTTTAGAGCTATGGAGCTCTCATAATTATTAAGTACAGAAAGAGAGAGGATAAGGCAAACTCATCCAAAACATTCCAGAGATGTCAGATGGAGAGAACCGGTGTCTGAATTCACATCTGAAGAGACATGTAGATGATGCTTTCCAAACCTGCTTCATGACCCACCTAAGCAGTCCCGGAGATTTCACATGGCAACCCCAAATAATTCATGCAGCTCCAAATGAGCCAGAAACCCTTTTATGTTCATCACCCATACAGAACCAGCTGTAGCTTAAAATCTTTCTGCTTCTGTGGTCATTTAGAAAGATACAGAACTGCCACCTAGTGACTAAGAAGAAGAAAGCAAGGTGTTATACCACAAGAAGCCACAATGAAACCACAAGTTTTTCATCTTTTCTTAATAGCGAAACTGAATTTAGGAAGATTAACACAAAATAGGGAATGAAGTTGTAGCAAAACCTAAAAATGCATAGTGGCCTAAGTAGTCTTTGTTTGATCAGCAAGGAATATCTCCACCTCAAAATGTATCTAGACATGTGACTCATACAAATATTATAACTTAAACACAAGGAGGTATCCAAAAGTTCATGGAAAATAGAATTAAATTATACTGGAATTTTCCCATGAGATTTTTGAAGCCCCTTGTATAATAGAACAATTTTTTTAAAATGACAGGCTCATCTACATCTATGTGATAATTGTCAAGAAAATTTAAAAATAAAAAATTATAAAATAAAAAGGTGATAGTCAATATAAAAACATAATTTACTGTAATGGACAGAAATCAAACTGACTCAAATTAAAATCTTAGCTCTATACTTTATCAATTTAGTGACCTTAGGAAAATTATTCAGCTTCTATGAACATAATTTTTTGTTTTATCATAATTCAATTACTTTAAAGGATTATTTTAAGTCTAACATAAAGTAATATATCCCAGATGCATAGCGCACTGGAAAGTAATTGTATTTCCTTCTAATCCTTCCATGACCAATTCAAGTTCTTGTAAAAATACACATACCACTTAAAAAGAGAAAAGACATTAGCTATCTAGCACCAAGCACCATGTCAAGAATTGTGCTCCACAGGAAATGGCTAATTTTAGAGGCTAATTTCTTGGATGGGGAAAAAAGTTTATTTTTGTCATAGAAGGTTTCCCAGTGAAATTCTCATAGGATTCTCTTACTACTCTTGAGGAATGAGCAAGTGTATTGTTATGAGAGGGAAAAGAAATTCTCACCATAACTTTCTGGTCCTTTATCCTCATCAATATAGTTTTTAATTTTCTTAAAAATTCTTTTTAATAATCATCCTGTGCCCATCAATAAAATCTATCAAAATTTACTCTTTTGGAATCCCATAAAAGCAGCTAACATCTCCGACTTGAATTTAACTGGCCCAATAGATCTCCTTGGAAAATTCTGTTTCCATTACAGTGTGTTCCCCAGATCATATTTGTCCATCTAAAACATATGCTGGTTTGATTTGTTCAGCAAAAACACATTCAGTAGCTACAATATTGCTTAAAAGGATCAGCTCTTTGAGCTAGCTGGATCATCACACAATGTTTTCAAGATATTTCCTTAAAATTGAAAAAGGCAACCTTTGGGAGCTATCACATCACTGGCCATTCTACATTTTTCGTCTACTAGTTTCTGGACTTCAGTCACAGTTTTTTCATTAATCTAGATGAACAATCTTCTTGGTTCATCTTTAAGGGCTTCTAAATCTTCCTAAAAATGCTTGATGTGACTGGGACAGCATTCCTGTAAACTTGTTGCAAAGTTTCAATGATTTTGGGAGGTTCCTATTTGAAATTTGTTAAAATTTTGATGATTAGCCTTGGTCTCAATCCACCCCACTCCCAAGGACCAAAAGTATCTCTCCCCCGCCCCTCCAAGTTGCTCTAATTAAATTAAGAAAAGTATATTATGGAGAGAATATGTAGGCTGCTATCTGATGTATGCTGCTATGCTGATTACAGAGACATGTTTATTTTATTGGTTTGGAATAAAGTGGTTCATATATGAACTGGAACACTAGTAGCCATATTTTTTTTACTTCATCTCATATAACTCCAAAGAAAACCTGACCATGAAGTATTCTATAATATCAGCAATGATCGCACATGTACGATATTGCTTACTATACTGAGACTTTAATTGAATAATTAAAGGCATACAACTGTAAAGTTATTTTAATATTTTTCTTGATTTTTAACCCATGGTAAAATGTCCTACAATAATTTGAAGACTTTATGGGAGAGACTGTGCAATTTTAAAATACCTTTGCAGTATAGTGGGTAAGTATTGCGAACTGAAAGGTGGGTAGTTCAAACCTACCAGCCACTCCCTGGGATGAAGGTGTGGCACTGTGCGTCTGTGAAGATGCACTGCCTTGAGAACCCCGTGGAGTTCTACTTTGTCCTGGAATGAAGATGTGAGCCCAAATCACCTCAAGGACAATGAGTTTGCTTTGCTGTTGGTAACTTTAAGAGCAGCTTTTACTCTTGTGCCACCAGCCAATCTAGTTGTACATTTGAAAAGCACTAGTTATACTCCCATTTATCCTCCAGAGGGAGCATAATCTTCATGAATGAAGCAGAATTCCTTATTTTTAATGGGACATCATCTTAAGCTTCGAAGATCATTCCATTCTTTAATTTCATTATGTCCTAGGTAGGCTAAGAATGATGTCACATACTAACCAGAAATAGGTGATGGCATCAGGAAGAAGAAGAAAAAACCCAACTCACTGCCAGTGCATTGATTCTAACTCAGAGACTCTTTAGACAGTAGAACTGCCCCTATAGGTTTCCAACAACGTAAATCTTTAGTAAAATAGAAAATCTCATTTTCCTCCTGCAGATCAGCTGGTGGTTTCCAACTGCTGACCTGGGGATTAGGAGAACAATACACAACTCACTACCCAGTTAAAGCATCTTCTTAGTTTCTGCTGGACTACAATCTTGTTTGGTGATGCCAATACTAAGTCATTTTCAAAATCATACTTGTAAAAAGATAGAAATAAGTTAAACAAATAGTTTTACATCTAAAACAAACCACTTTCCTCTTCCATACCAGTACACCTACTCTCTTTTCTTGCAGTTTTTTTTCCAATAGGAAATCCATTTTGGTACAAGAGATAAAGATATAAAGTTTGGCTTCTTTGATAATAGAAAATAAATAGTTCCATAGCTCCATGGAAATTAAGCAGACACGAATGTTTCTCTACCAAACAGCAACTGAAAAACCACAATGTTTGCTTTCAGAACACCTTTGACCACATTTATTAAGCATATCGTGATTATTCAGGCAGGCACATCTCTGCACAGTCACAGAGTGCCCGCGATGTCTTCCCAGAGTCAGCTGTTATCTGGATCTAGTCCTTTAGGTGGACATGGTGTGATATGGCTTCTGAAAGTCTGCAGCAAGTTCTACTTCAAGGCCAATTTCTTTTCACAAAGAAAAGAAAGAGAACCTCCTCTTCTACTGTGCTATATTCCCTTGCAAACTCAGGAAAGCAGAGGCAGACTAGCTAGCTGGCCGATGGGAATATCAGTCATAAAATATGCCACAACTTTAAGATAATTAAGATAATGTGCTTAGATATCCTATTAAGATCTTCTTACCTGCTGGAGAACATCTAAACATTTTTCTGGAGTTTCCAAAACAGCAGATTGAGATTCTGGATCAGAAAGGAAGTAAACAGTCAATATCTAAAATATAAACTTTCCTATTTCCTTAATCAGAAAAAAATCTTTCCTGAAAATATATTTTTAAACATAGTACCATACATATCCAGCCTATCTGAAAATTACAGTATTGGACTAATTCTCATCATATACAAATATCATGCCATTTCACTAGTTTTGTTTTTGAAATTAGAACAGTCCCACACCCATTTCTACACATTGACCATAATATGTTTGTACACTGTAGTTTCCATATGGTGGTAGGAAGTACCTATACTATTTTATGTAATTCATTTAGCCAATGTTTGTAACCAAGATAGCAGCCAATGCACCAATCTGGAAAGATGATCAGGAAAGTCACTCTGTGGTTTCCCTGACTATTGGCAAGTCACCCTGTGGTTTCAACAAGAGATAAAGAACTCTCACCAAGTACCTCTAAGTAATCTGGGATTCTGGAAGATTTTGGCTCTTTGAGTAGAAGTTTTGGCATTTAAGACTCTGAGTTCGCAAAGTCAACATGCTGGAGAACCTCAGGGGCTACTCAATGAACAACTATTTCTTTTAAATTTGGGGACACTTTCATCTTATTGAAACTTACAAAGAAGTTTAAAAACATAAAACTGCCTTCAGGCATCCCTAGTGTCCCATGGGTAAGAGTTTGAAAGCCACAAATCTAGTCCATCCATTTATTTTACAGATGAGAAAACTGGGCCCACAATACAAGCTGTTGGTGCAAAGTTGAAGACCAGAATGTATCTCCTGTTGTCATATTGCTTCCTCCTTGTGTGGCAAGCAGAGCAGATAATTGACACAAGACATAGCAGTCACTCTTTGTGATAATTTCTACATGGCTAATGTAGCTGCATTTTAACTGATGTATACATATGTAATGAAGCTATATTCTAATGCTACTCACTGCCATCAAGTTAATTCCAACTCATAGTGATCCTATAGGTCAGAGTACAAATGTCCCTGTGGCTTTCTGAGACTAACTCTTTGCTGCTGTGGTCCCTTGTAGAAGGCCTCATCTTTCTCCCAGAAACAAAGCAAAAGAACAGTAAAAGTATCATTTAAATTGCATGACCTCTTATTGTGCATCATTGAATGTTTTCATTCGCTTAAAGTCATTTTCCCTACAATGGCCCACATGCCTTGTGCCATCTTCTCCAGAGTCCATAACCTCTCTAATCAATTCCTTCTTTCACACTTTTAGTTCCAGCCACACTGGTCTTCCTACTGTCCTTGGAGCATGTGGGTCACATCTCCTTCCCAGAACCTTTGTGGTAGCTGATCTCTTTGGCAGGACCTCTTCCTCTTCTTCCCTATTATCTGCATGGTCCCATTTCTCACAGTTCCAGCACTTTACTCCAGCCTCCTTGGCCACTCAATTTAGATAAAACAACTTAAATATACACCTTCTCTTGTACTTCCTATTTTTCTTCCTTTTCTTTATCCTAGCATGGATCAACACAGGACATATAATTATCTTGTTTGCCTACTTATTTATAAACCCCATAAAAATATAAACTCCACTCTCCCCAGCACCTAGAATAGTAAAAGGCCTGTAATGTGTGCTTAAAACATTTGATCAATAATTATAGGAATAAGTAAAGGAACAAATGAAAGATAGAAAAAAATAATGAAACCACAAAAGTAGGAGCACTGTAAATTGTAGGTATTCTGGAAAAGGGCAGAAAGAATAAGAATGTTTTTAAAGGATGTATAAATAACACCTTGCCCTTAGCTACTTCGGTGGCAATAGAACATAACAAATTGCCCTAGAAGCAAAACCAATTTCCAAACAAATATTGCATATTACTGAGATAAATAGAAAGGGATTTTTCTCATAGTGACAAATCTCACCAAATATAGAACCAATTGTGAATAAAGACTTTAAACCTCAAAGCTAGCTAGCAGTTAATAATGAAGAGGAAAACCAAACCTGGAAATATTCCTGTTTTCTGCTATTTTTCATTATCTCTCTATCCTATCAAACAGTAAATTATGTCCTGGCTTAGAAAGAGCAAAAAGAGTGTGGGAATAGCTCTGAAATTTAGAAACTCATGTTGTTTGCTACTTTTTTTTCTCTTCCTTACAGTCTTCATCTTTTTGTTGTCCCCAAGTAAGAAAAATTCTGGGTTCTGGCCATATGTAAAAACATATACAATTCGTTAAAAAAATTAACTAGAAAGATGTGTCATTGACTATTTTGAACATCTAAATGCAAATTTCCAGTTTACCTCAAATTTATTGGTTACTGAATTGAAGTCACTCAGTCTCCTAGGCCCAGCCCAACTCACTATACGTTTCATTTCCTTGAATTAGCTTGTTATGATCTCTAAGAGAAACTTATATGTCAAGATGTTATCTTCAAAAGCCCAGTTTCAAGAGTTTAAGGTGAAAGGGAAATACAAAATAATTGTACTGAAAGAGAAAGGCAAAATGAGTAATAAGACAGGGAGAAAATGTAAATATTGATAATAAATAATAGAATGAAAAACAGATAAGAACTTTACAGGAAGAAGAGTTACGAAAAGCATTAAGAAATAGCAAAAAGTAGTATGAGGGGAGTGTATAGAGCATGGCACACCAAGACTTACAGCTCAAGTCCATGGTAACTGAGTGAGTATATTTGAGAAGCCATGTTGTTTCTAACCTTCTTAGAACTCAGTAATTGAAAGCAATCACCTCTAATGCAAATCCCAATGGTAGGTATTGCCAACACACCTCTTCAAAGAATTGGGAGCAGCTTCAAAAACTGCCTTATACGGAAGAAAGGAAGAGGAGAAGGAGGCAAAACTTGGAGGATGAGGAGCGAGAGGAGGAGGGGAAGAAGAAGGCAGTGGTGGAGGGGTAGGAAGTGGTAGGGGTATTTTGGTCTCTTCAGATGGCCCGTTATTATTATTATTACAACTTCAATTTTATTCTTTATTCTTTCCCACCACATTCCCAGCTTAGCCATATCTCTTGCTTTTTCTCTATTTCCCCATACTTTGTACCTTATATTAGACTTTCTCCACCTCACTAATTGGAGTCAACTAATCCTACACAACCTTACACACCACTAATTGCAGCACCAGGTGCTACAGAAACAGCAATCAACTGTAGCACCCAAAAAGTAAAATTAAGAAAAACAAACACAAACAACCAGAATTCAACCAAATGCAATGGAATACACTAAAAAAGAGGCCCTCAAATCGCTAGATATAGAATTGTCAGGTGTACTTAGTTACAATAGAATACCTATTATTTGAACTACCTTTTGACCCATTTAAAAATTGTTTTAGTCACAAGAATACTTTCTTCTACTAAATTGGCATTCTATGATGCTCACCTTCCCGACACAACCGCTGAAGACAAAGCGGGTGAATAAGCAAATGTGGTGAAGAAAGCTGATGGTGCCCGGCTATCAAATGATATAGCGTCTGGGGTCTTAAAAGCTTGAAGGTAAACAAGCGGCCATCTAGCTCAGAAGCAACAAAGCCCACATGGAACAACATATCAACCTGTGTGATCACGGGGTGTCGAACGGATCACTGAAGACAAATGGGTGCATAAGCAAATGTGGTGAAGAAAGCTGATGGTGCCCGGCTATCAAAAAATATAGCGTCTGGGGTCTTAAAAGCTTGAAGGTAAACAAGCGGCCATCTAGCTCAGAAGCAACAAAGCCCACATGGAAGAAGCACACCAGCCTATGCAACCACGAGGTGTCGAAGGGATCAGGTGTAAGGCATCATCAGAACAAAAAATCTTACCATAGTGAATCATGGGGGGAGTGCAGAGTGGAGACCCAAAGCACATTAGTAGGCCACTGGAGATCCCCTTGCAGAGGGGTCTCGGGGAGGAGATGAGCCAGTCGGTGCGATGTAACAATGATGAGAAATACAACCTTCCTCTAGTTCCTAAAGGTTTCCTCCCCGCTCCCACTACCATGACTCGAATTCTATCTTGCAAGACTGGCTAGACCAGAGGAGGTACACTGGTACAGATAGGAACTGAAAATACAGGGAATCCAGGACGGATGAGCCCTATAGGACCAGTGGTGTGAGTGGCAAAACAGGGAGGGTAAAGGGAGAATGGGTAGGAAAGAGGGAACTGATTACATGGAACTGTTTGTGACCTCCTCCCTGGGGGACAGACAACCGAAAAGTGGGTGAAGGGAGACTTCGGACAGGGCAAGATATGACAAAATACCCATTTATAAACTATCAAGGGCTCATGCGGGAGGGGGGAGCGGGGAGGGAGGGGAAAAATGAGGACCTAATGTCGGGGGTTTAAATGGAGAAAAATGTTTTGAGAAACGATGTACAAATGCGCTTCACACAATTGATGTGTGTATGGATTGGGATAACAGTTGTATGAGCCCCTAATAAAATGGTAAAAAAAAAAATTAAATAAATAAATAAATAAATGTAATGGAGAGTAAAAAAAAATAAATAAATAAATAAAATAAAAATTGTTTTAGTTTTTAATATTTTCTGCATTCTCTGATTGAGATTTTTCTATATTTTCTCTAATCATTGTTGGTGTTTCTGTTTGTTTCTTTGCTTGCTTTGTATGATTGTGTGATTTGTATGCTTTTTCTTTTTCTGTATAAGAAATCCAGGATAGGTAGATCTATAAAAGCAGTAACTGGATAGGGGACTTCTCGGGGAGGATGGGGGGAAATAGCAAGCTAACAACAATGAGTATAAGAAGAAAATATTCTGAAATTGATTGTGGTATTAATTGTATAAATCTTCATATGACTGAACAATTAAATTGTGTGATATATGAAAAACTACTATGGGTTATCACTTCATAACTACTAATAAAGACACAGATCATAAACTGTATTAGCAAAACTGTGGCGAACTTGAAACCCTTTTCCATTGATATTGTATCTGTAAGCTTATGTAAAACTGTTTCTTGTAAACAGTTGGCAACTCTTCAGAAAGTTTGATGTATGCTTTCAATTGAGGTTTTTCTGTTTTATTTTGTTACTGCTTTGGGG